CCGGGCGCCCGCCCACCCGGTGTGCCCCAGGAGCAGGCCTCGTGGGTGTGCCGTTGCGAGGACCGCGTGGTGCAGCGGCTGGAGCAGGACTTCAAGGTGACGTTGCAGCAGCAGAACTCGCTGGAGCAGTGGGCGGCCTGGCTGGACGGCGTGGTGAGCCAGGTGCTCAAGCCCTACCAGGGCAGCGCCAGCTTCCCCAAGGCCGCCAAGCTCTTCCTTCTCAAGTGGTCCTTCTACAGGTGCGCGCGCGGCGGGATCGGGCCCGGGCTGCACCAGGGAAGGCCCTGGGCCCCTGTGGGGCTCAGTTGCTCTTCTACGACGACCCAAGCCTGCAGGCTGGGCGGGCGGGCTGGGGCCCTGGGCTCTGTACCATGCACGCCCGGGGGGAAGGCTGTGTTGGGATCCAGCCTGAGTCGCTGGGCTGGCGCGAGGCCCGGGCACATCGCAGCGGGGAGGGGTGGAGGGGTTGGGCCGGACGGGGCCTGACGGTCTCCTCTCCGTCGCCATACCCAGCTCCATGGTGATCCGGGACCTGACCCTGCGCAGCGCCGCCAGCTTCGGCTCCTTCCACCTCATCCGGCTGCTCTACGACGAGTACATGTACTACCTGATCGAGCACCGCGTAGCCCAGGCCAAGGGCGAGACCCCCATAGCCGTCATGGGCGAGGTGAGCGCAGCGGGCCACTGGGGGCGCGGGCGGGGCGCCAGGCGGCGGACCCTCACCCATTTTCTTCTCCTTCCTCCAGTTCGCCAATCTGGCCACCTCCCTGAATCCCCTGGACCCCGACAAAGGTAAGCGAGGCGTGTTCCCACCCAGGGCGCGGGTCCCGGGGGTGAAGAACAATGGAGGGGCTGGGGAGGAGGAGGAACCCAGGGGCGTTGCCACCCCGCCCCGAGCCTGACTTGGCCCCTGTGTCCCAGACGAGGAGGAGGAAGAGGAGGAGGAGAGCGAGGACGAGCTGCCACAGGACATCTCACTGGCGGCTGGCGGCGAGTCACCCGCGCTGGGCCCAGAGACCCTGGAGCCGCCGGCCAAGCTGGCGCGGACTGATGCGCGCGGCCTCTTCGTGCAGGCACTGCCCTCCAGCTAAGCCCTTGGCCTCCCCGCCCCACCCGCCCCCGCCACCCCTTCACGCCAGGGTCCCTCACAGCTTCTGTGGCTTGGTGGTCACCGCTCCAGCCTCAGCCAGGGCAGGGAGGGGGCCTCCAAGACAGGGAAGGCCGGGGCCCTCCTACCCTATGGGGCCGGCACAATCAGTGGGCTGGGCGGAGCCGCAGCTGCAAACTCTGACACAAAAGACGTGCCTTAAGGAACCCGCCGCGTGCCCAGGTGCCCCGTGGGGCATCCAGCTCGGCCCCTTGGCCGCCCCCCTCCCAGGCCGCAGCATCTTCACCCCAGCCCCGTCCTCCCACCACCCCAGGGGGCAGGCAGGCAGGCCCCCTCCCGTGCGGAACTGTTAACTTATTCAGCTCGCTGGCTTTGCACAGCCTGTCCTGGGCCCAGCCCTGAGCCCTGGGCCGGCGCAGGTGGGCGTCACCTGGGGACTCCCCACTGTCAGCAGCAGCCCCGGGACCCCCTACCCCCAGCAACCCCACTGCTTCCCCTTCTTGGTATTAAGTGCAATTAAAGCCGTGGGTGTCGCATCTTCTCCGCTGGGCCCTCCCTTGCCCCCAAGCCCAAGAAGGGGGCACTGCCCGGCCCGGCTGTGGGGAGGGCGGCAGGGGGCACGGCCTCCAGCTTCCAAAGAGCAGCGGGCCGCGGGGCCGGGGAGTGCCCACAGACCCCAGCCCCCGCGCCCCCCCTCCGCCGCTGGTTTGTAATGGAACCTTTTCTGTGCCCCTATCTTCCCGGAGACTGTGCTTCTCCTCCGTGCCGTATGACCCCCACCCCATGACTATTGTGCGATTCGTGAGCGCCGCCCGAGCGGAGTTGGTAACTTGTTGGGTTTTTTTCCAACCATCATGGCCTTATCTGTTCCAGTTTTCTCAGTGTTTTCAGCCTGTGAGATAGATGTTTATGGCAAGAAAAAGAAAAAAAAAAAATGGAAATCTGACCTATTGTATAAAAATCACTATTTTGTGTGCTCCGCGTGCTACAGCTTTTGGGGCGGCCTGCCCAGTCCCCGTGCCCACGGGGCTCCCTCTCCCGGCGGTGAAAGTGTCCACACGTGTGGTAGTCTAGTGTGCCGAGCTGTTTTCTACCTTTTTGTAGTCTTTCTTAAAACAATAAATTCCGCTGTGATATTTGCCTACTGCTGACTCGCCGGGCCTTGGTGGGGGCCTTGGGGCGGGGGCTCCAGCTGGGCCCCGAGCTGCAGTAACGGGACCTCAATGAGGTTCAGAAATTAAAACATTTATTACATGAAGAAGAACGGAGTGGGGATGGCCAGGAGGTTGCCAGCCTGGGTGGGGAGGCTGGGGGCGGGCAGGGCAGGGGGAACAGGGTCCATTCGACCTCCCCGAGGGCAACGTCCACAGCTGTAGCCGAAGAAAGGGGCAAATGCACAAGGGACCAGGCCCATGCCCAGCTCGGAGTGAAGGCAGGGCGCTCAGGCTGGTGGGGCAGGGGGCGCCCTCTCTCTGCCCCTTCCCAACTTAAATAGGCATAAATAAAAAGCGTCCAGACCCTCGGGCCACCAGGGGCTGCCCTGCCCAGCCCGGTTCCGCAGCCTAACACTAGTGCCGGTCATCAGTCGGTGGGCCAGCCGGCCAGGAAGAGGCCACCCCAGGGAGGCGGCCGGTCCCAGGCCGCGGAGGTAGTTGGAGTCAGTGTCCGGGGCGGCCCGGCCCTCACAGCACGATCCACGTGTATCGCTCGCTGTCTGCCAGAACCTTCAGGGAGCACCCTACAGGGACAGGTGGGGACAAAGCATGGAGCCCCTGCCTGCCCAGCCCTGTGGCCGCACTCCCCACCTGACTTCCTTCTGGCCCAGAAGGTTCCAGAAGGCAAGAACCCTGCTGAGTTGCCCTCCACCTCTCGCCTGCAGCTACTCAATAAACGTCTGTAGTGTGAACGAGTGACGGGCCAGTCTGGTGGGAGGCTCCCAGGCCCCACACCTTCAGGGCTGCTGAGCTAGGCCTGGCCTGGGCGGCCCTCTCCTTACCAGCCTTCCCACCCATTTCATCAGCGCTCAGGAATCAGCGCCTGGGTGAGGACAAGTGACCCTGGGGACCCTGACCATCACGGGGTCACCGACCCCCACCTTTGTGGAGCGCCTCGTTGGTCATCCTGTTGACGTAGCGGCCGCTGCTCTCGGGCACCAGCCACTTCATGACCATGTCCACGCAGCTCTTGCGGTAGGAGCTCCAGACACTGCCGCTGTGGGGCCAGGGGGTGAGTGGCTCTCATCGCCTCAGCCGCCCCCAACCCTGCCCCCCAGCCCTGCCTCACCTGGTCTGCCCTTTGACCTCAGTCAGGTCGCCTACACTGACTGTCTCGAAGATGCCTGTGTTGAGGTCCCATGCCACCTTGAGGCTGGTGTGATAGGTCTTTGGTCTGCAGTGGAGAGGGCCACAGGATAAGCGCTGGGACAGCCGGGCTCCTGAACCAGGCCCCACACTACCCTGAGGGGCTTTTGTCTTAGGAGAAGCTATGGAGGGGCCCAGCCAGGTTGTGGCACAGGGAGCGCCTTCTCACAGCCCCACGCCCCCACCCTGAAGTGTCTGCCAGCGGCCCCCCTAGTGGACAGGGAGGACAGGGTCCCCGTGCTCACCGGAGCTGACCCTCCTCAGTGGGGGACGGGAAGGCCAGGAGCAGCAGGCCAATGTTGATGAGGACCTGGTTGGTTTCCGGGCACACCTGGGGTTGGGGGTGGATGATGCCAGCTGCTGAGGGCGACTCCAGAGTACAGGGAGCCCTGGGCCCACCCTGCCCACCCTGGGCCCACCTCTAGAATGACAATGTCATAGTCGCTGAAAGAACAGAACTGGTGGCCCCAGGTAGCGTCGTGGCGGATGACCTCATTGATGACATATTCGAAGTCCAGTGTGAGCTGCTCCACTGTCAGGTACTGGCCCTGCGGGCGAGTGCGCAGGCGCAGAGGACGGTGCCAACTGCCCCCCAGCAGCTTCCCGGGACTGCCCTCAGCCCGCCCACGCCCGCACCCACCTGGACAGCAGTCCGCTCCCGCATGGGCCGCAAGTTGCGGCCACGAAGATCAGTCACCACGAAGGGCAGGGAGATCTTGTCGTCCTCGAACTCTGGGGAGGCAGGAAGTGGGGATGGGGTGGAGGGAGGACAGGGGCTCCATCTGGGTTGGCTTCCCCATCCCAGGCCCTGCCACATGCCTGCCCCCCGCTCACCATCCTCCGGCTCCGTCCCCTCTCCAGACTCCAGCACATAGTACAGCTTGGTGTAGTTGATGTAGCCAGGCTCGGGGGCAGGCGCCTCCGAGGCAGGGGGGCTGTCCCGGGGTGCTGCCTCTCCACACAGGGCTAAGGACTCAGAGTGCGCACGGCAGCGGCTGCCAGAGGGTCCTGGGCACAGGGCAGGCCGGGCTTCCTCAGGGGCCCCGCCCTTGGCCTCTTTGGCCCGGCGGAAGATATCAGCCACAAACTCTTTGGCTTTGGCAATGGCGGGCGAGGGCTCAGGAGACCCAGAGGAACGGGCTGGGGCCGCCTCAGGGCAGAAGCTAGGGAGGGCAGGGGGCAGCTCTGGGCTCTGGGGCTCAGGGGGGCTGGCAGGCGCCGGGGGGCAGGTGCTGTGGTCATACAGGATTTGGCAGAAACTCCTGTCACCTGGAAGAAGAGATGGGTGTGGACAAGTGTCAGTCTGGGGTGCTCCCAGCCTCGCTCAGTGTCCTCAGGGGTTTTCAGAAACCCACCTTGAGGAGACACTTCTAGACTTGGCTATGCTGAGATCAGTCTGAAACACCCAGGAGGGGAAAGACCTTTCCGCGCATGCACACCACGCACACATGCGTGCAGACGTTCACGTTCATTCAAACCCCTTTCTTAAGCTGTCTACTGAGTGCCCCACGCTGAGGACACAGGAGTGAACTAGGAGCCGACACTCTACAGTGTAGAGCGTTCACTACAGTAGCATCCAGCCTCCTAACATCTGCCACTCTGTCGAGGGACATCTTGTGATTTTCACTGGCATTTCTCTGATATGGAAGTCCTAAGGCAAGGCCCTTCTGGGTCCTTCCCGACACAAGCCAGACTGCTGCGGGCACACTTCATCGAATCGGGGCTTCTGTCTCTGCCTGCCTAGAGATGACTCCCCCAAGGAATGCGGGCAACACATGGAGAACCCCAACATATTCACTGAGCAGCCCTGTGGCTGGGCCCCATCCCAGGTTTCCTCTGAGCCTCCTACAAGTAACCCCCAGAGAAGGGCCGCATCCCCCAAAATGCAGCTCAGAGATGAACTTGCCCAAGGTCACATCTGAGATAAATGGAGTCCGGGCTCCCCTCCACCACCGTGACAGCCCTTCCACGACAGGGCGGGGAACAGGTCACAATGGCCAAGGAAGAAAGCACCCCTCTGTGTCAGCACCTCCCACTGATGACCACGCCCTTTCCCTGGGCTGGCGCAGAGCTGACTGTCCGCTGTGGTTGTTCCTAACAGGACCCACAGCCGAAAGGGCAGAACTGCATCAACCCTCACAAGTTGGGGGGTTCATGGCCAATAACCGAGTGGCCGAGCCTCAGCAAAGGACAGTGCCTCACCCTTCCTGGTATAGATTGGGGGGGTGAGGACAGGAGTCCCCAGATATGTCTGGGGACAAAAGTGCCCTGGCCCCTGGCTTATTTGTGGGCTGAGTTATATACATTTAATCCTGCCCATTCCCCGACTGCCCCCAGGGACAACCACTTCCATGGGGATGATGGACGTCTTTGTATCTGAGTTCTTGTAAAATTAAAATGTTTTTTTTTTTGGAGATGGAGTCTTGCTGTCTCCCAGGCTGGAGTACATTGGCACAATCTTGGCTCACCGCAACCTCCGCCTCCTGGGTTCAAGCAATTCTCCTGCCTCAGCCTCCTGAGTAGCTGGAATTAGAAGCATGCACCATCATGCCCAGCTAATTCTTGTATTTTTAGTAGAGATGGGGTTTCACCATGTTGGCCACACTGGTCTTGAACTCCCTGACCTCATGTGATCCGCCTGCCCTGGCCTCCCAAAGTGCTGGGATTACAGGCGTAAGCCACTGCGCCTGGCCTAAAACGTCTTTTTAATTTATATTAAGTGGTTCCAGTTATAGATTCCTTGTGTTTCACCCCCCACATGTGCACACATCTCTGACACATGCTCCACGGATGCCAACGCAGGGGCCTTCACTGGTGCTCCACAGATGCCCCCAACCCCCCGACTCCTCCTAACTCACTCCCCAATCCCCAGGGAGGGTTCTTCAGGTGGCCCCCAGCTCCCCGTCAGCAGCCTTGGGACACAGGGACCCAGTGAGACCCTGCCAGAGGAAAAGACCCGGGCACAGGGCAGCTGGGTCAGTCATAGTCACAATTCTGTTGCCAAATGGCCCCGGGGCCCCCTCCCTCCCGTTGCTGCCAGCCGGGGGCATGATCCAGCCTCCTGACATTTGTCACTGTCAAGGGACATCTTGTGATTTTCACTGGCATCTTTCCGACATCAAACATATAAGGCAAGTGCCTGCCCACTAACCACGCCCCGAAATGTTACATTAGCAGTTCTCAATTCTTAAGAGAAAGGGGCGCTTCCCCATCCAGCTAGCCACCTGTGGCTATTTCAGCTTAAAACAACTACAATTAAATCCATCACAGGCCAGGTGCGGTGGCTCACGCCTGCCATCCCAGCACTTTAGGAGGCTAAGGTGAGTGGATCACTTGAGGTCAGGAGTTTTGAGACCAGCCTGATCAACATGGTGAAATCCCGTCTCTACTAAAAACACAAAAATTAGCTGGGTGTGATGCCACAGGCCTGTAGTCCCAGCTTCTCAGGAGGCTGAGAGAGGAGAATTGCTTGAGCCTGGGAGGCAGAGGTTGCAGTGAGCCGAGATCGCGCCACTGGACTCCAGTGGAAAAAAAAAAAAAGTATCACAAGCTCAGTTTCTCAGTCACATGAGCCACATTCTAAGTGGCTCCTGGAGGCAGCCATGGTGGACAAAGCAGATATGG